TGTCATCTAGAAAATGCTTGACAAACTTAATGTCATCTAGAAAATGCTTGACAAACTTAATGTCATCTAGAACATTCTATACAAACTTAAAGCCATCTAGAACATTCTATACATACTTAAAGTCATCTAGAACATTCTATACAAAGTTACAGTCATCTAGAAAATTCTATACAAACAATGTCATCTAGAATATTCTGTACAAACTTACAGTCATCTAGAAAATGCTTGACAAACTTAATGTCATCTAGAAAATGCTTGACAAACTTAATGTCATCTAGAACATTCTATACAAACTTAAAGTCATCTAGAATATTCGGTACAAACTTACAGTCATCTAGAAAATGCTTTACAAACATACAGTCATATCTACAGTTACATATAACTTAAGGACAACATGGTACCTTTGGTCAACCTAGTTTTCCTATCCACTGTACTAAGCTCTAAAATAAAAATAAAATTCTCAAAGCCCACTCTTCTCCTTCAAATATTTATTGAGCCATTCCTTAAACTCCCTTAAATTTACTGTAATTACCACATTTGAAGGCTACCCATTTCAAAGACCAATCACTGTGTTTGAAAAATAAAACTGTTTTAGCTGAATATAACTGACCTGTCAATATTTGTGTTTCCTAGTTTTACCATTCTCACCGTTATAAATGACAAGCATAAACAGTACCATTTCCCTTAATAATCTGAAACACCTCAATTAGATCCCGTCTTCCATTTTTCAAACTTAGAAATTTTAACCCATCCTCAAATGACAGCCTTTCAATCCCAGGTGTCATCCTGTTAGCCATCCTCTGAACACTTTCCAACAGTTCAATGTCCTTTCTGACGTAGGAGAGCCCAAAACTGAACACAGTGCTCTTTATGTGGCCTAACCACTGACCTATACAATGAAGTTATAACCTCTTTAAATTTGTATTCCATATTTCTGTAGATATAGCCTAAAATCCTACTTGTTCTACCACTAGCCACAGCACACTGCTTGGATGTCTTAAGAGACTGATCAACCATTACACCAAGATATTTTTTTTTCCATAATGGTGTTAAGATTATTCCCATGACAATTATAATCACAATGTTGTCTAGATCATTATTTAGAAACTTACAATCAAGTCTTATTAATTATTATTGTGTACTTAGCTAAATAATAAGTAATAGTGTGTTCTAATAAAACAGAACCTCCAGTGTGACATACGAGACCGCCAACCCCAGATAGCTTACATCAACAGACTAAGCCAAGGGCTGAAAGGGGTAAGATGTTCCTCACTAAACCTTGAGGTTCACAAGTGCACTTTGGACTGGAAGGAGCTAGTAAAGGATGTCATATCTCAGCTAGAGAAGCTGCAAAACTACCATATGACCTGGCAGAATTTTCAGGAAGACATCAAACAGTTAAAGACTTGGATAGAAGAGGCAGAACATTACTTGTTTCAGATACAAAAGAAAAGTGATGCTGAGACAGACTTGACCATGGAAATGAAACATTTAGGTGACATAGCTGTAAGTATAGTTACTTTTAAAAATTGATACTTTATAAGGTTCTTATATAAATAATTGCTAATTTTCATTCATAAAATTCAAGCTCCTACATTACTGTAACCTGTGCATGTTGTCAATATTGAACCAGAAATGAAAATTTATCTATATTTCTTAGAAGTAATAAAACAGTAATGATTGCATCTCACCTAATAAACTCATGCTGATTCTGATAGGAGAGCTTTATGGAAGGACTAGAGTATTGGATTTAAGGCTTAGTTATGGGAAACTGTGAATGGTAAAACATTTAGTTTATGACTGAACTTCTACATACTAAAGTTAAATATTTGTTGTTAGAAAATCAAGTCAAACTTCAAGATCAAGGAAGTTAAACAAGAGGATATGAAAAAAGTCCTTCAGCAAACTTTGAAATTACCTGAGAAACACCTGAAACAACTCAATTGCAGCTGGGAAACTTTAAAGATATCTACTTATGACTTGGAATCTCAAGTATGTCAGCAGGTGATGCAGCGACCATTCCATGAAATCTTTGTGGAACTTAGGAGCTGGTTAGAGAATATAGCTACTGTAGTGCTACAGAAAGAGATGTTGGAAGACATGAGATCCTTTCATGACATTGAGCTATTGCTATCACAGTACCAGGTATGTATCTGTCAAAGTGAATCATAGTACAGGGTATGTATGTATGAATCAGAGTGAAAATCAGAGTACAGGATATGTGTATATCTGTCAAAGTTAAATCATAGTACAAGATATGTATGTATCTGTCAAAGTGAAATTCAGGGTACAGGATATGTATGTATCTGTCAAATTGAATCATAGTACAAGGTATGTATGTATGTATCTGTCAAAGTGAATCATAGTACAAGGTATGTATGTATTTGTCAAAGTGAATCATAGTACAAGGTATGTATGTATCAGTCAAAGTGAAATTCAGGGTACAGGATATGTATGTATCTGTCAAATTGAATCATAGTACAAGGTATGTATGTATCTGTCAAAGTGAATCATAGTACAAGGTATGTATGTATCTGTCAAAGTGAAATTCAGGGTACAGGATATGTATGTATCTGTCAAATTTGAATCATAGTACAAGGTATGTATGTATGTATCTGTCAAAGTGAATCATAGTACAAGGTATGTATGTATGTATCTGTCAAAGTGAATCATAGTACAAGGTATGTATGTATGTATCTGTCAAATTGAATCATAGTACA